TGTTTTCGACAACTCATGTTGAAGTTCGGCATCTTCTTTTTGAAGACGAGCCAGTTTTACTAGGTCTACGCCGTCGATTTGGGTGAAAGAACAAACGCGCGACAAGGCATCTGCCACAGTGTTGTTTACTCCGGATACATGGCGAATATCTGATGTAAACTGTGAGACGTAATCCAGTTGTCGTGATTCCCTGGGTGAATACTTATCTGAAGGTGAGTTCAGAGAGTACGTCAGAGGTTTGTGATCCGTAAAAATTATGAATTCACGACCCTCTACCGAATGTCTAAAATGTCGTATAGCACAGTACATAGCCAGAAGTTCTCTGCCGAATGTGCTGTACTTCGTTTCAGCTAATTGAAGGCGTCTCAAGAAAAAGGCAAGTGGTTGCCACTCATTGTCAACTAGCTGTTGTAGAACTGCGCCGATTGCAGTGTTTGATGCATCAACCGAGATACTTAACGATGCCGTTGGATCCTGATACATCAGAAGTGTGGCATTCGCAATAGCTTTTTTAACCTGGGTAAAAGCATTTCGAGCAGACGCGTCAAGTTCAATGGACTTGTTATTCCCTCGAAGGAGGTCTGTCAATGGCTGAATCAAAGAGGCACAGTTGGGAATAAAGCGTCGATAATAGCTTACTAAGCCGTTAAAAGTGCGGAGACTTTTCAATGTCTGTGGCTCTGGAAAGTTCAATATAGCCTCGACCTTAGTAGCCAGTGGGCGAATGCCCTTGCAGTCAATAGTGTGACCCAGGAAGTCGAGTGAGTCAACACCGATTTGACATTTTTGAATGTTGATGGTAACACCATGTTGGCGTAACCTGTCAAATGCCAAGTCCAAGTGCCTAAGGTGAGTTTCCTTGTCTGGACTGGCAATGAGGCAGTCGTCTAAGTATGCGTATACAAAGTCGAGACCGCGAAATACTTCGTCGATGAAGCGTTGGAATGTTTGGGCTGCATTCCGTTTTTTTTTTTTTTTTTTTTTTTTTTTTTTTTTTTTTTTTTTTTTTTTTTTTTTTTTTTTTTTTTTTTTTTTTTTTTTTTTTTTTTTTTTTTTTTTTTTTTTTTTTTTTTTTTTTTTTTTTTTTTTTTTTTTTTTGATAAGGATGCCGTCAAGTCGTGTATATGAGGCAACGGGTAGCAATCAGGGGTTGTTTTGGCATTCACTCGCCGGTAATCACCGGTGGGTCACCAATCATTGCTATCCTTTTTCGGAACCATATGAAGTGGGGATGCCCGTGGGCTATTCGAAGGTCGAATGATGCCAAGGCTAAGCATATGGTCAAATTCGTTCCTGGCGATTCTCAGTTTGTCAGGAGCTAATCGTCGTGCTTTAGATGTCACAGGTTGTCCTGTGGTAATGATGTGGTGCATAACATTGCTGGTTATGCACGATAGGTCGTTCGACGGGCAGTTAAGTTCCGGATACTTGTCAACGATAGGTTGAAAAGTTGGATCAAGAATTGCCTTTATCTTAACGGGTGACAGGCTAGGGCCTATGTAGGTAATGCCTTTGATAGACAGACTAGTAGTATTGTCAATCAGTCGTTTTCGGCGGACGTCTACGAGTAAATCATGATGATTAAGTAGGTCCGTGCCAATGATGGGCATTGTAACGTCAGCGAGAAGGAAAATCCACCGAATAGGTTTGCGTAAGCCTACGTTCAGATAGACGTATTTCCTACCAAAGGTTGCGATTGGTTTTCCATTGGCAGCCTGTAAGTTGAAGGTAGGTTCCTTCTGTCGATCTGCTGCTGTAGCAGGAAGGACGCTGACTTCGGCGCCTGTGTCGACTAAGTATCGAGTCTGGCTTATCACATCATGGATGTAAAGTAGGCGGCTAGTGTCACCGGCGACGGTTGCCGCCAACGCGTGCCGGCGGGATAGTTTCCCGCAGACTTTGAGACATTTCCGAAGTTACAAGGCTTACGGCAACACTTCGCTTCTTGGCCATAGGTGTTGCGGTACCAGCACCAGTCAGGGTTTTTCAGTGAACGTGGTTTGGACTTAGATCGACCACGCGAGTTCCTGCGTTGAAGAGATTTAGGACGACGGTTGGAGGATTTAGAATGCATGTTTGACCTAAACATCTGCTGAAGGGAGTTGCATAACTCTGTCATTGCAGGATCCTCACTCGAAGTCTGCTTAGTCATTGAGCATATTTCGGGAACAGACCGTTTAGTTATTTCTAGAATCTTATCTGCAGTAATAGCTAAGTTCTCTATTACAGTACCCTCAAGTGTCACAAGTACGGTCTGTACAGATTGTGGCAACTTGGTTAAGAAGAGTTCTCTAAACAGTCCTTCGTCGAACTGACTTTGACCGACGACTTCTTTCATTCTTGTCAGCATGCTCACGGCTGACTGATCTCCTAACTCGATGTTGCGAAATAATTCATCTAGACGTTGTCTGTCCGTGAGAACGTTTCTCCTGAGGAGGGATGCTTTCAGCAACTCGTATGAGTTACTTACCTCGGGACTCAACATCTGTGATGTTACGTACTTGCTGAATTCCCGCGGTAGGGCGTGAATAACTGCAAGTAACTGTGAACGTTGATCGGTTATCCCATGCTCACAAAAATCTGCTTCAGCTAGCAGAAACCACGTTTCAGCATTATCTGGCCAGTATGGTACGAGCTGAATGGTTTTAGGAGTTGAGCGGATACGGATGACCTTGGGACTAAGATCACTCATGACGAAAATTATGTCGAATAATATATGGTACAAGAACAAATACAAAATGGAACGAACTCACCGGGGTTATCTGCGGGTTTATCGTGGATAAAGTTCGCGGTCGGGCTCACCAGTTTAAAGGTTGACGGATATTAAAGGTTTGACGTGATATCTCGTTCAACAACTTCTAACTAATTTATTCTCGCGTACCAAAGACAAAGCAAAAGCCAACAATTGATCGTCCGAGCCGAGATATATATTTAGTAACCAAAACCAGCCGTTAGACGAACGCTTAGTTAGCTAGTGATCGTGCACGTTACACGACGGGGTACCAAATGGCGGGGATGCTTGACCGGAAGCCTTCAGCTAAACAAGTCGACTTAAACAGTGGTGGTCAGCATCCAATGAGTGATTGCTGTGGTCAATAATTTTGGGGAATTATTTACAGCTACAATATAAAAATAATGTTTTTACTAGGCTCTGTGAACAAATATTACAATAATAAATCATTGTATTACTTCTGACGATGTTTCACTCTTCTTTCTCAACAGCGACCGATGAGACGATGACTGTCGTATTGATGCCTCCGCGAAAATTGGGGAAGTTGATTTTGAGCAAACAACCAAGAATTGATCGTTCAATCTGCAACTCCATTGACAGTTCATATTTGTAACAAAGATTTGTTCACATTTGGGGAGGCTTTGGGAGGATATATGACAGTAATACAGTCTATGGAGTCATTTTAGAATGAGAAACAAACATTATTTGAAATAGACCATTTGCAGTGAATAAAAGTTGCAACGCTACTACCAATTTTCTTATTGCAACAGTGACAGTCTTGTGTAAATAATACTTATTCGTTTAGTGAGATAAGGTTGTTATCATAAAGTGCATGTTACCAAATTTCTCGTGATTCGATTATGGAAGCATTATGATAAGTGTCAGTGGACACCAGACATTGCAGGTACATTATCTTGTTAGGCAGAGAGCGGCAGTTCGTGTTCATTATGACAGGGACCACAGTTAAATGTATTAGTATGCGTTTGAGAGCTCTTTGCCGACCACTACGATGCTTCCTCTTTGATTTCTTGGGAATAGGGAAGTCATTTGGTCTTAAGCAAGAGACTTCACTACAAAACATTGTATTGATCAAAACTCAACATTTCGGTATGAATGCAGGAAACTAATCTAGGCGTTTTACCGTACAGCTCGTCAAACATTACCAAACTAGACCAACATTGTGCCCTGGGAGCTATGCAGTCCGATCTTTCATCAAATACAAATATAAACTGTACAACAAAAACAATTAACTGGCAAAAACAACATTAAAATACTTTAGGAGCATATGGAATATTCCTAACTACATGAGACCAAAACTCTAGCTGCAAGAATCGAACAGAATTAGACACGCCTCCTGGAGACAACTCAAAGTCAAGTAGACACTGATTGGGGTAGCCATGAATTCTATTAAAGAAATAGCAACTGTATGACAATACCTTATTATTATCAACAGTCCACGATCACAAAAATGCAAAGTGAAGAATAAAAAATGACCAACCAAAGGCAAATAATAATGGCAGGCGCTTGGTTAGGAGTTAAGCGAATTTTAGAAGGGTGAACGAGCTCTCAGCTGATATAATAATCGGGTAAAAATGGACATCAGATAACCAGATAACATCTCACAGACTTTGCCAATCCACCATGGGAGTTCGGCACTGGGTATTCATCATATCATTCACTACCCGTGTTGCAGGTGGAATGCAGAATACGCTCTAGGTTCGTAGCAAAGCCTTCCTCGAACTTTCGTTTTTATATTATTTGCTTCGTGGTACTATTTTGAGCTAGCACAAACCATTATTGTTGCAGAATGTACTAAAAATGTCCCTCGAAGTTCTGTTCTTAACTAGCTGTTTACCTAAATTCTGTCTTCCACCCCTGAGAACGTCCGTTATCCAGCTTCCCTGCATTCTGTTAATACCAGGACTCTCTAGCTTTACCAGTAGCACGGCAATGAATATAGTACTGGTTGTGACATCATTTCAGTACCTTTGAAACAGACTGACACAGTGACATGCACGTACAGAGACGGCAATGGTTTTGCTATGGTCTCAGAGAGTCAAGGAAACACTTGTAGATGAAGTTAATCAGGATCACTAGAACTTCCGGAATTAGAGGTTTGAAAGCAGCTTCGGGATTACCATAATCTCAATATTAGGAGTCTCTATTCTTGGATGAGAAATCTGTTAAGATCTGAATTTTTGTATGTGTAACGTAAGCACGAGTCTAGAAGGCCGAAATTAAAAACATTTATGTTGGAAGATAACCCAATATGACTTCAAATTGCTTCTCATTTAGTGGATCAATACCAAAATGTCCATATACTTTTAATAGTCTACTAAGAGGTCACTCTTCATGGCGGAATTTCGGTATTTTTGGAACGTGGGATCGGTCTGGTCATTTTGATCTGTTTCCTTACCTTGGTAAGTCACCATTTACAAGACATTGCAGCTTGTGTTTAAAGTCGATTTATTTTATCGAAACATTTCTTAGCTTGATCCATGTTCTATCCAGTTGTCATATTTCTCGAGGCTTAATGTCTGGAACTCGTTCAAATCCACATTCAATGCGCCACTGAATCGAAGTGAAGCTGTTATCGAGCGCACAACTTGGTCAATCAGACGATTCAAGTTCGTGTATGATGGTCGATCAATGGTCAGATTTCGACGGCATATGTCGTAAATCGCCTCGTTGTCCACCATGAAAGCACAATCTGAGTGCTCCAACGCCGTATGAGTCGTCAGGACTGAGTTATACGGCTCAACAACAGCTGTAGAGATGTGTGGAGCGGGATATACTGCGAACTCCAGTATCACCTTCTTCGCGAAATCCACCGACAGTTGTTCCATCAGTAACGAGGTGAAACCTGAACCAGTACCACCTCCGAACGAATGGAATATAAGAAAGCCTTGAAGACCAGTGCATCTCTCGAACAACTTCCGTATCCGATCCAACACCTCATCCACCAGCTCCTTGCCCACCGTGTAGTGGCCACGAGCATAGTTATTCGCCGCATCCTCCCTCCCAGTAACCATCTGCTCCGGGTGGAATAACTGCTTGTACTTCCCATGGCGTAAACCATCAACCACCTTCGGTTCAAGATCCACAAACACTGCGCGTGGAACATAGTGACCGACACCCGTCTCACTGAAGAATGTACTGAAGGCGTCATTTTCACTTCCACTCGTCGAGTCAACCAGCACTCGCTCATCTGACTCAATCCCGTGCTCCAGACGATACAACTCCCAACACGAATCGCCCATCTGGACACCCGCTTGACCAACATGAAGACTAATACATTCACGCATGATGCTTGCTGACAACCGCTTTCGACAAGTACAGTCACGTCACGCCAAGTCAAATTGGTTTTATGGTTTTCTTCGAGCCCGTGACATGAACTTAGGGCCAACGGACTTAATCGATATAATGCAGAAAAAAATTAGGACGCTTTTATCTGTACTCCTATCTAAATTCGTGATTCTCTGGCTCCTTAATAAATGTACAAATCCCTTTAAATACATACTGTACGATATGCTGATATTTCAGTTGTGACTGAGTACCATATATGGCCACTGTTTTCCAGAAGCCTCTTCATTCTCACCATTTCATAGGAATATCATGCAACACCAACCACGTATACAAAAGCTTGCGCATTTGGATCAATGGGTGACTAACGGACTAGTTATCTGAATCACAGTACTTACTAATCTGCAATGTTAGAAGTTCTGTTTATTCATTAGGGTGGGCAAGTGTCAAAGTCTTGAGGCTATTTATTATCATGAGTAACTAATTTGTGATAAAGGATTGAGTCAAGGATTTTCTAAATTTACCACAGCAGTTCCCAGCTAGCACTTTTTTCGGGTGCTTTGCAGATTTTTCGGGGCAGATGTAGAGTGCATTCCAGACTTTTAAGGACAGGCTTAGGGACATTGTCCCACGTATTTTTATGCTCCCTAAGTTTTTTGTCCCAGAGTCTGCAGTGCACCCGGAAATAATGCTAGCTGGGTTATTTTTTGCAGGTAGCTTCTGCAACTTAACGTGAATATATTTGTAAATATAGAAAAGCAGTACGGTGAATGATATGATATGCATGATCACTGTTTTAGTAATTATAGGTCGGCTTCAATTTCGATGATACTAGTACAATGTAAGGGCTCATTGAACGTAAGTTTCTTTATGACTCCGTTAAGTGCATTTAGATGCTGCATTAAGGTTTCACGCTAAATCAATTCCTTGGACAATATGCAATGGTGTTGCATTTTGTTTGGTGCCACCATATCCTGAATAAATACATTTTGTATCATATTTCCTCTAGCTAATCTGGATTTTTCGGCTCTTCTGGAATGATCACATTGTATAAGTAAGTAAATTGGTCAATGCACTTAATCCTTTGGTTTCTTATTGTCAGATCAAGCACTAAGGCAAAGTAACATCTTACTTAGAATGCCGCTAATTTTTTAGCACAATGAAAAATTTCAAATTCTGTAAATTGTGAGATAACGTCCGTTTTTGCCGTAGCTAGTATCTTCACATGATCCCAGTGGAAAGTCCTTAGAATGTTTTATTATTTCCCATTCGCAGTAATCTAGTTTGATTGTATTTCTTATCGCGAGACATTGATTATTTGGAAGGTACTTTAACTTTTTAGCATATATCATGAGGATAAACCAAAAAGATATGAAGTGAAATTTAAGTCGGGGGATAGTCAGTTAGGATAATGAACGGTATACGGTCTTACGTCTTTCTGATGGCGGAGTTAGTCTCTACTTATTGGCAAGTTAAATTACGCTGTTTTATATATGGTGTCTTCTTCATCGACATTCCCAGTTCAATATTATCACTTCAGATTGTTGAAACAGTGTTAAATTCTCACTTTTCGGTAGGAGCTGGTTTCTTCCTCTTGATGCATTTTGGGTGCATCTAGTGTAAAGACTATCCTTTAAGTCATACATACCAAAACGAAAATATTCTAATTAATATTTGCACAAAGTGATGGGGACTCTTTCATTCTCAAATATTCTATATTCGTAACAATTTGAGTGTTTTATTAACATACGATGATACATGTTATTGCGAAAAGGCATTTTAACCCACTTTGATGATTACATTCAGCAGAATGATTTAGTGATTTTCGAGATATACAAACTATACGTGTTCTGCTGGGTATCCGATTTATTTCAAATGATTCACTTAAAACGCGGAAATTGCAGTATGTTCATTGATTCGCATCACGATCTTAATCAGAAAACATCTTGAGTCACTAAGTTGTATACTCTTCTGGACCCTATCTAGAGATATATGATTTATCGACAAGTGCCACCCCAACACATTTGTCTTTAAACCTACTGTGCGACGTCGTGGTTTGGCTGCCTTTCCCAACAATTGACTCAGGGCGACAAACACGTGGTGGATGCATCCATTAACTGAATGTGGACCGAGTTTGCTCCTTGCAAACTTATTTTAAATGCATCTTACGAAGGTGTGAAGTACAACAACAGTTGGTGTTTTTCACGAAGAAGTGTGATTTAGAACAATGTATATTGGCTTTGTAAGCTAACTAAATTATTTTCCAAAGTCTGCAGTTAGTATCATGATGTGCCTGGTATTTAGTTGAGGTCGTTCAGCTGCTGAAAGAACTTTTTATTCATTTCGTTCGACCTGCAATCCATGGGTGTACAGTCAGATAACAAAAACAACTCTTTTCTGACTAGGTGTTTCTTACCCTAGGATAACGACCTAAAAGCAAATAAACGATTACTAATGGTAATCCGGTGGCGTAGTGTAGCATCTATTCTAGCATTTATTGCCACATTGACACCAGACAACTCGAGTAGTGACGCTACGACTCAAAACAGTACATACAGGCTAAGATTTTAAGTGATAACCAACGGCTGATAAAAGTAGAGATAATACCGAAGGCCAAAATGATGAAGAGAATATGAGACTATTCGTTCATGAGAATAACAATCAAATGCATTGTTGTTGAATACCTGATTCATGAAATCAACATGAGTGGTGAATTTTGAGTGTATAGTCTAGTTGGGTGTAGTGTAGCTGAGTTCTCTGAGCTGCACAGTTGAGTCGTAAGGCCCTCGTTGTCTTCCTATATAGCATCTTCAGTGCTAACTTTAGGATGAGGTGACTGGAATTCTCCTTAGATGTGATAACTGTCTCAATGAACTTGAGGACTCGCAGATATAGGGATAGCATTGATTTTTAGGGCAGGAAAATCACTTCTTGACTGTATCCCAGTAGATGGTCGTATGTGTGCTGTCCGCCTAAAAAAGGTATGTTAGAGGAAAGAAGGACGGCGTTACCCATCACTGTCTTTCATAGTCTCCGCTTACTCCCCAACCGACCGCAGTTCAGGTGAACTAAACGGTGACTTCTACCTGAAATTGTTTAATTTGATGCAAAAAGCAAAACACCCAGAAATAATTGTTTTGGCAGGCAACTTCAATGCCCAAGTAGGAAAGTTGTGCCAGACTGGGAAGTACATACGTGGTACGTATGGAGTACTCTGCAGACAAACGGACCACGGTGGTCGTCTTCTACAGTTCTGTTCAGATAATCATCTGTTTCTAGTCAGCACTAACTTTAAGCACAAAGAGAGACACTGCCTAACCTGGCGACCTCCACCACCAAATCAACGATAGTCTCAAACAGACCACATAGTTGTAGGGTATCGTTGGCGAGAATCAGTAGATGACTGTCACTCCTTCTGGAACACTTGCGTAAACGCCGATCACTCCATGTTTCGCGCACGTTTATGCTTACAATTAAACGGAAATAAAAGCTGCTAGCAGCGAAGCAGTTATGTCCCCAACTAGATCGAGACTCTGAGTCCCTATTTAGCGAAGAAATAACGAAATAGGTATCTGAAACGGAAAACAAGATTCCCCCTAAGAGAACATAGCACAACAAACAGCTAACTATAGACACAACTGTTGAGGTTTTGAATAACTTAAAACCATAAGTTAGTAAGAGCCATTGGATTTCTACTACCTAATCCGAACTGATTGACGCAAGTAGACTGATTCCGGCTAGCTCGGATTATTATGAGGAGCGAAAGCTACTCAAACGAAAACTAACAAGAAGCCTCCGTAACAAACGTGAACAGTGGTGGGAGACAAAAGCAAAAGAGATGAAAAAGGCATCGGCGATTGGTAATATCAGACAACTACTTAGGCTTATCAGGGAAACAGATGGTGAAAGGCAGATGATAAGTGAAACAATCTCTGAAAGAAATGGCGCCATGTTTAGTTCCCAGGATAGACAACTAGAACGTTGGAACGAACACTTTGAGAGACAATTCAGTTGGCCTACAGCCACGGTCAACCCACCAAACATCCAAAGCCTCCCTGAATGGGATAAAGACAGGTCCTCCGTCCCTAACTGTGGTTACTAAAGCTGTCACTAATCT